ATCTGTCCAGTGTAGTCCCCGCAGGCCACAGGTGGCTACAAACACTTGAAATGTGGCGGGTGTGAGGGGAGGGAGAAGTGAATGCTCGATGCTAATCAGCTAAATTGACTTCACTTCAACAGCCACCCACGGCAGTGGCATCCATCCTGGACACAGCGTCTCGGGGCCCCATGGGGCTCAGCCATCACGAGACCCTGCCCTGCCTGTGCCCAGCCCCACCAGAGGGTGGAGGAAGATGGAGGCGGCGGCAGCAGCAAGAGCAGGGGGCTTTGCCAGTCTCAGGCGCAGGTCCAGGCCTCTGTGAGGAGACGCGGGAATGACAGCCGGCCCGTGCCACAGCTACCTCTCAAACACCAACCCCACAACGATGGAGTGCCGTCAAGGATGCCGCCAGGCCAGGCCCCATTCCTCCTTCCCAGACCTCCCTGGATTGCTCCGTCTGTGCTCACTGAAACACGCTTTCTGCCAATTGTTGAGAAAAAAAAATCAAGTCTTAATATTCCTGTCATTGTAAAAGCTTAATGGTTATTTTTACAGATTTTGTGTAAATTTAGAATCAAATAAACAAGTCATATGCCATTCACAACAATAACCTTTCTTAAAAAGGGAGACGTGCATGGCTGTCTGTCCTCGTCACCATCTGCAGCCCGTCACGAGTGAGGCACGCACGACTGGCCGCTCGGGCCTTTGCCCTTAAATGCACTGTGTTTTGGTGGCAATGGGATGGAATCAAGAGTGACCTTTATTGAACACTGGTTCTTGATCCTTTAGCCAAATAAGGTTAAGTCCAACTGCATCCGAAGCTCCAGGAGACAGCCGTTCTGAGCGCAGACCAGCTGCCTCTAGGTCTGCGCTGTTTAACCTGAACAACCTCTCCGCTTTCTTCAGGTCTGTATGGTTTTTCTTAGTGTCAGGCTATATGTGGCTCATCACAAAATCAGCTACCTAACACCACACAGAATGTAACATCTCTTAGCTGAAGAACAGGTTTCAGGCTGGGGGCAGTGGGTCATGCCTGTAATCCTAGCACTTTGGGAAGCCAAGGCAGGTAGATCACTTGAGGTCAGGAGTTTGAGACCAGCTGGGCAACATGGTGAAACCCTGTCTCTACTAAAAATACAAAAAAATTACAGGTGGCACACACCTGTAGTCCCAGCACTTTGGGAGGCCATGGTGGGCGGTTCACTTGAGGTCAGGAGTTCCAGACCAGCCTGGGCAACACGGCAAAACCCCATCTCTACTAAAAATATAAAAAAACTTACAGGTGGCACACGCCTGTAGTCCCAGCTACTCGGGGAGGCTGAGGCACAAGAATCACTTGAACCCGAGAGGCGGAGGTTGCAGTGAGCCGAGATTGTGCCACTACACTCCAGCCTGGGTGACAGAGCAAGACACCGTCTCAAAAAAAAAAAAAGAACAGGTTTCAGCCCTTTATCCTAAGACACCAGCGTGTACACACAAATGGCCCAACGCTGACTCAGGAAGGCCCTGTGCTGAGCGTGCCAGCCAGGCAAACTTGCCAGGCGTACCTGAAGGCTCTGAATCGGTCTGCAATTCATGCAGGAACAGTTTCTACACTGGGGAAAGGTAGGCGAACCTCTCACACTGTGCAGACAGCAGCACCCCCACTGTTTACCATTCTCCACGCCAAGAGGGCGACCTTGAGAGGCAGGCAAAGGTGAGCCCGGCTTGGTCCCAAAAAGCAGCGATGGGGAGTGGCAATTCTTCCCACTGGGCCTCGTGGCCAATGTGGCCCGACATCCCGGAAGTGGCGCCTAGCACCCCACTCACCACAGTCAACTCCCTCAAGTCTTGTCGCTGACTTAACTGCTTCCTGTGGAATATCAACAGAAGAAAATACATCACGCACCTCGAGGAACATTACCTTGTAATGTAGTACAACGTATTTCCAAACACACAAGATGAATGCAAGCTCTTCTGTACAAAAACATTTGTTTTAATCAACCTCCTCCTTATGCAACACAATAAAAAACTGTTCCAATGTGGCCCACGAGACTGGAAGGCAATGGACAGGGCACATGCCCCACAGCTCACAGGCACCCTGCTCTCAGAAAGCCACGCTGGAGGGCAGAGCGGGCACTCCGAGGGCAGCAGCAGCGCCGGTCAGCCCCCCACCAGCCACCACTGTGTATCTCTGATGATCAAAACCAACGGCCCTGAGAGCAGCTCAGCCTGTGGCTGTGGCTAGAGGAGAAGGAGACGCCTTGTACCCACATCTCACATCCCAGCAGGGGCCACAGCGGGCAGCGGACTCAGTGAGGGAGCGGGAGGAAAATTAAGACAGCAGAGGGAAGGGAGTGTGCTGGGTGAGAGGATGCTGTCCAGCAGGGCTCCTGGCCATCCCCAGAGCACCTGCCCAGCCAAGGAGTGGCTGGTTGGCTAGAGTGCCTCCTTGCCCGCTGGCCGCCTCCTTCTCTGTGGCCTCAGTTCCAGGCCCTCCTCACCATCGTGCCCATCTTCATCCTGCACAGCCCTAACGGGTCCCATTGTGCTGAGAAAACTGTCACCCTAACATCAGAGCTGCCCACGCGGCTGCCAACTATACTTCCTGAGCACCTACAGGCTGGGCTGCAAATCAAGGTCAGGGAAAACCATGAATCTCTAATTCCCCTAACCTCTGCAAAAAAATAAAATGTTTTAAAAATTAAAAAATAAGGCCGGCGCGGCGGTGGCTCAAAGCCTGTAATCCCAGCACTTTGGGACGCCCGAGACGGGCGAATCACGAGGTCCAGGAGATCAAGACCAATCCTGGCTAACACGGTGAAACCCCGTCTCACCTAAAAATAACAAAAAAAACTAGCCCGGCGCGAGTGGGCAGGCGCCTGTAGTTACCCAGCTACATCGGGGAGCTGAAGGCAGAGAATGCGCGTAAACTCGGCGGTGGAGGCCTTGCAGTGAGCTGAGAATCCGCCACTGCAACCTCCCAACCTGCTCGGCGACCCAGAGCGAGACTCCGTCTCCAAAAAAAAAAAAAAAAAATTAAAAAATAAAAAAAAAAGGAAAAAATTGTGTCATTTTTTTCCCCAAGACCAACAAGACCAAAGAAATGTCATATCATGAAGTTCTCAAAGGGGTCCCTTGATCCTAAAAAGGTCCGCTGAAGCCCCCGCGTGGGGCGCTCAGCACCTGGACTCCCGGCCGAGGAACCCAGACCCCCTTAGGATTGTGAAACAACATGTCTTTCCTGGCCCTCCAGGGAAACCCCAAAGCTAGTGAGCTGGGCTGGGCCGCCTTGAACCCCGCCACTTTTAAAAAAAGTTCCGGCCGGGCGCAGTGGCCCTCAAAGCCCTGTAATGCCCAGCACTTTGGGAGGCCGAGACAGGGTGACCAACAAAGGTCAGGAGATCCGAGACCATCCTGGCTAACACGGTGAAACC